GACAAGTGGCTAGCCTAGACACCCACTGAAACAGTTGGGCTTTGCCTCCTGCCGGTTCAATGCCAGTTTCATAATCCGTTCCCTCCTGTTCTCACCCACCTCTGCCTATTTTACCGCCAAATTTGAAATTTACATCGGGTATCAATGGACCTTGATTTACAATCTTGTGCTCGAATCCTCAGCTCTTTCAAGGCCCACCACCACATCCTACAAGGGAGACAATTGCACCTCCTTTTCCTCAAAAGGGGTCTCCTCAATGCTGCTGTAAACATGACGAATCGCCTTCTCCAAATGTATGCGAGGTGCGGCCAGATATCCGATGCTCGGAAACTGTTTGATGAAATGGGTGAGAGAAATACTTTCTCTTGGAACACTTTACTAGAGGGATATGTGAAACATGGAAGAGTAAAGGACTCGTTGGACTTGTTTTACTTGATGCCAGATAAAAACGACTTCTCTTGGAATTTAATGATTCCAGGCCTTGTAAAAGCCAGGGAGTTACATGTTGCGTGTGGACTGCTTAATGTGATGCCGAGGAAAAATGGGATAGTTTTGAATTCTTTGATGCATGGTTATGTAAGAAATGGGTGCCCATATAGTGCTTTAATGTTGTTTAGAGATTACTTGAAACTGGAACTTGGTGAAGGTGTATGTCGGGATAATTTTGTTTTGGCAACAGCTATTAGTGCTTGTGCAGATTTGGGAAGTTTGGATTATGGGAAACAGATTCACACCCATATTATTGTCAGTTTTGTGGAACGTGATTCGGTATTGGGGAGTTCACTTGTTAATATGTATGCAAAGTGTGGTCAGTTGGACACTGCAAGCCAGTTGCTGCATAAAATGCAACATGTAGATGACTTCTCTCTTTCTGCACTTATATCAGGATATGCGAATTGTGGCAGGATAGATGATGCGAGAAAAATCTTTGAACTTAAAACTGATCCATGCATTGTACTATGGAACTCTTTAATTGCAGGTTATATTGCCAATGATGAAGAAACAGAAGCAATTTCGTTATTCTTAGAGATGCGGAAGGAAGGAGTTTCAGGAGATTTTTCTACTTTTACCAGTATTTTGAGTGCCTGCAGTAATACTGGAATTGTTAAATATTGTCAACAATTGCATTCTGACGTATGTAAGTTGGGGTTCATTGATGATCTAATAGTTGCCAGTGCTCTTGTTGACACATATTCCAAGTGTCAAAGCCCACATGATGCTTGTGCTTTATCTGATGAACTCAATGTGCATGACACAGTCTTGCTGAATTCTATGATTACTATCTATTCTAATTGTGGGAGAATTGAAGATGCAAAAAGGATTTTTCTGACCATGCCTGATAAAAGCTTAATCTCATGGAACTCCATTATAGTAGGTCTAAGTCAAAATGGTTGTCCAATTGAAGCTTTAAATCTCTTTAGCAAGATGAATAGGATCAATTTAAGTATGGACAAATTTAGCCTTGCTAGTGTCATTAGTGCTTGTGCCAGCATTTCATCTGTAGAATTTGGTGAACAGGTGTTTGCTAGAGCTACTATTGTTGGCCTTGATCTTAATCAAACTGTTTCATCCTCCCTTATTGATTTTTACTGCAAGTGTGGTTTTGTTGAAAGTGGTCAGAAAATCTTTGACCAAACCAAAAAAGATGATGTAGTTTTGTGGAATTCTCTGTTGATGGGTTATGCGACAAACGGTTATGCAATTCAAACTCTGAATGTATTTTATCAGATGACATCTGCTGATATGGTACCAACATATATCACATTTATAGGAGTATTATCTGCTTGTAATCATTGTGGATTGGCAGAGGAGGCACAGAAATGGTTTGATGCAATGAAGGATACCTACCACATAGATCCTGGAATAGAACACTACTCCTGCATGATAGATCTTTTTGCACGGTCTGGTTGCCTTGAAGAAGCTGTAAGTATCATTGAAGAGATGCCATTTAAGGCAGATGCAAGCATGTGGTCATCAATTCTTAGAGGATGTTTGGCTCATGAGGATAGATCTCTGGGGAAAAAAGTAGTTGACCGAGTTATGGTGCTTGATCCTGAAAACTCAGTTGGATTTGTGCAGCTATCAAATATATTTGCCACATCTGATGACTGGGAAAGGTCTGCCCTTGTCAGAAAGCTAATGAAAGATAACAAAATCCAAAAGAATCCTGGCCTAAGTTGGGGTGGTACTTAGTGGGAAATACCATATGCCACTGCATTTTGAGGTAAGGTACTTCATCTTTGTTGAAACCACGAGAGGGTGATCTAAATGAACAACTATCAGCCAAACGAAAAGAAACAGAAAATTTATCTTTAGAGTTTTATCTTAAAAAGAGGAAAGTATAGCATTAATCAATCAAACCACACATTCTATTTGACTACAACCTGCTGTTCATAGAACCATATCCTTGCTTTGTTCTATGTCTCTCTGTATGTTGCCAACTACAAAGCTTGCTGCATTTTATTATAGACTTATTATTCTCAGTGGTATCTATCTATATTTTGTCAAACTGATATCTTGCGTTGTGCAGAAAACACTTGGGCTAATATTAATGTTTTGAGATTGTTTGGAGTTGCAAAGCTTTAGCATTCTGAGCCTAGGTCTGCCCCTTCTATGTAGTTTCCAGTCCCCATAAAACTGCTGTTTTATCTCAGTAATAGTAATATGCTTGCTAACCCTTCATATTCTTCTGGATGCTGTAGGAGGCTGAATGTGAAACTAACTCCTTCTGGCCTAAGATGATGCCAAAATACATATGGCTGTGCCAAACACAACAGGTCAGGTATAACGTAGTCTACTTTTGGTCTATAGTAGTTTTCTGCTTACAGTAACAGATTTAATTTCCACATGATGGCCAGAATGATGTTTTCCAACAAATAAGTTAATAGACAGACAAAACTGCATAGTAAATCTAACATTTTGTTGTAGAAGGTCATTGTTGGAGTTACAATTTGCTTTCACCTGATTGTCTCAAGTAAATATAACTGTAGTTGGGAATGCTGTTTGAAATGTAACATATGGGGATACCCATTTGGAAGCTTCCCATCTTATTTTGATGCATCTTTATATTGTCACAGTCAGAAGTTTTTTTCCTAATTTTTTGCATTTTCTTAACTTGATCTTTGTTTTCTTTGATAAACTTTGCAGTTGATTGCCTCTTGCAGTTCCGGGCTCCGTTTACTCCGCCTTCTTTCTGCCAGATAGCATAATCAATCTTACTCTGTGAAATCTCTCTTTATTTCCCCTCCCTCTCTCTACCTGTCTGTTCCGACTGGTTTATGATAGCTTTCTCTTCTTTGTATCCTTGCCTGTCTCCACTTTCTTATGCAAGTTTCTTTGATTATTTCCTCCAAATTCCAACAGAGTTTGACACTGAGTATGGTCAAGTTACTATGATGCCTATGGCTCTTCAGATTCTGTTTCCTTTTTTCATTTGTAGTGCCTGATGGAACTTGCATCTGTTGTGAAAGCATTGTTTCTTTCTTTTCAGGCATGTGAACTTTGATCTACTCTGCAGTAAGGAGCAGAAAGATACACCTAGGTCGTGAACTATCCAAATTATCTAAACGCAGCTGTATGTCCTGGAATCCCCCTATTTTGCAGTTTCAGTTTCCATTATCTTCTATTTTAGGTTGCGGGCAAGAAAGAATACACGTAGAAATGATGTGTTATCCTAATTAGGTTGTCCTAATGATTGAGTGCTTTTACTCGTCAAAATCTTTTGACACCTAAGGCTTTTCCTGGCCAGGTTTATGGTTCCTCCCTCCTCTCACCTTCAGTTCACAAGATTTCTCAAAGGTCTGAATCTCATCAGAGGTTTGGTGCAGGCGACAACACGCACAACGTTGGCATTAATCCAAATGCAGTGGCGGATCGGGCAATGAATCCATTTTGGGCATTTTCATTTCTTTATCTTTATCCACGCCCGAGTTAGGACCAAGACTGTCTTTGCTACTAGCTTGGCAAAGGCAAGATAGTACGATACTGAGATGACCGATTGCAAACAATTTCCTTTCCATGCATTTGGTTAATGCTAATGCTTGGGAAATTTCCAAGGCAGTTCTAGTCAGCAGATACCATAGAATATAGATACGAAATGTGGATAGGTTCTTTATTGTCATCACATTTCATCAAGCTATATGCTGAAGTAGGAGGTTTTTTCTTTAGGTAAAGAGCATGAATCTGAGAACAGTAGCTGTATGTGCAGCGGAATCTTGCTTAAAGATGTTGTTGGCTTTTTGTGTCCCAACTATTTTGCTCATTCAACTTTCTCATTTCTTGAGACTCGTAGTATATTGACTGCCCTCGCAATGTCAACCTTGAATAGTTAACAAATTGGACACACCAGTAGAAATTTATTTCATGTATCTTGCACCAATAACTTGTTCATGGAATTAGCTTTATATAAACAATCATTTGTTTAAACTTTAGAGATAAATATGTACTTATATGTGTCGTAAAGTTTCAAGAAGAAGTTGGTGGCGATGATTGTTAAGACTTGCACGAGATAGTCAATGATTGAATTTTTAACTACTTGGTTGAAGTATGAAACGTATTATTACTACCTTAGATTTTTGGTAAATTAGCATACGAGTGCACGAATAAATATTATAAGAGTGCCTAGTACCTTTGAAATTCACTTGCCTTATTATACGATATTCTTTCTTTCGTTTGGATTAGCTGTTTTTGTGGATGTTTTTGAAATATTTTACTGTACCAATGTAGGTGAAAAATTTTTACTGTAGATAAAGTTATTTTTCGAGATTATTTTTGGTGTTTTTGATATTTTTAAGATTGTTTTTATTTGTATATTATTGTAACATTATTCATAAAAAACGGAGAACAAACTTCAGGTTACATTTTGGAAAATTTACCCTTAACCAAAAAAGAAAAAAAAAAAAAGGATCGGAGCAGTAAATATATAGTAAATAAAAACTTTTCCCTCCATCTCTATCATTTTTGTATTTGAATTAAGAATAAAAATACCAAACACGAAAAAATACTCAACTAACAGTGAACCGGGATCAAAATGGTTTCAGAATTTCCTTTAGCTTTTCTTTCTTGATTGTAGTATTCTTTCCATCTTTTGGGGCAAAAGCCCAAAAATCCTTGATGCTTTGCCCCTTTTTTGCATGTACCTTTTGTTACAAAGGCTTTGTCGTCATAGACCAATCCACACATATTCACTTTCTTTTTACACTAAACTGATTGATCAGTGTTTAAGATGGAAAAGACCCAATTTTGCAAAATCCATTCATGCCCAGCTGATAAAACTTGGTTTTAATGGCACTTTTCTGGGAAATCGTTGCGTTGATATGTATAGCAAAGCTGGCCTTTTTAGTTATGCTTTGAAAGTGTTCGATGATATAGCTGATAGGAATGTCTATTCTTGGAATATATGCTTGAAAGCGTATGTACAACATGGTGATTTTGAGAAGGCGCGTTTAATATTTGATAAAATGCCTGAAAGAGATGTTGTGAGCTGGAATTCAATGATTTCAGGGTATGTGTCATGTGGTTTCTCAGAGCAAGCGTTGGAGTTGTTTCTTGATATGCAGAAAAATGGTGTGAGGCCGAGTGGGTTTACGTTTTCGATTTTGATCTCGTCTGTTGAGTGTGTCTTTGTTGGTAAGCAAATACATTGCAGTATGTTGAGAAATGGTGTCGATTTTTCCAATGTGGTGGTTGGCAATTCTTTGATTGATATGTATGGGAAGGTTGGCGTTGTGGAATATGCTCTTAGTGTGTTTTGGAGTATGAAGGAGTTGGATGTCATATCCTGGAACTCATTGATCTCGGCTTGCTGTAAATCAGGTTATGAAGAATTAGCAATTGACGTGTTCTGTTGGATGAGATATCAAGGATATGCATCAGATGAGTTTACCGTGTCGAGAGTGATTTCAGCCTGTTCTGGCTCGCGGAATTTGGAAAAGGGTAAACCAATTTTATGTCTTTGTATAAAGATGGGGTTTTTCTCGAATACTATTCTTTCAAGTGCTGCTATTGACTATTTATCTAAATGCAACAGAATGGAGGACTCGGTGCATATATTTGAAGAATCTAGTATTTGGGATTCAGCTCTTTGCAATTCCATGATTTCAGCATATGCACAGCATGGTTTAGAAGAGAAAGCATTTGGGCTTTTTGTCGATTCAATTAGGGAGAATATTAGGCCCACTGAGTTCACTCTTAGCTCTGTTCTCAATTGTGCTTCAGCCTTCTTAGCGTTGGAGCAGGGAAGTCAAGTCCATTCTTTAGTGATCAAATCAGGGTTTGAATCAGATTCTATTGTTTCCAGTTCACTTGTAGACATGTACTTTAGATTTGGATTAGTTGATGCTGCCCTGGGGATCTTTGCTACCATGGTTGTGAAAGATCTAATAGCTTGGAATACTGTAATAATGGGATTGGCTCATAATGGAAAATTTCTTGAATCTATTGGCCTTTTCAAGCAACTAAAATCTAGGGGACTAGAGCCAGATAAGATTACATTTTCTGGTGCTCTATTGGCATGCAGATACGGTGGATTGCTTGAAGAAGGAATGGCTATATTTTCTTTAATGGAAAAGGATTATGGAATTGCACCCAGGGATGAACATTATGCTTGTGTTGTGGACTTGATGAGTCGAGCAGGTAAACTTAAAGAAGCAATAGCTATAATGGTAGTTATGCCCCATCCACCCAATGCTCTGATGTGGGAATCAATACTTTGTGCTTGTAGAATTTATGGAGATTTGAAACTTGTTGAAAAAGTTGCAGAGAGAATGATTGATTTGAAAATAGAGTCATTATTGTCTTGTTCACTGTTGGCTCAAGTGTACGAGCACAATGGTAGATGGGAGAGCCTAGTTAGAGTAAGGAGGTTTATGAAGCAGAAATATGAAGTGTTTGATTCTAGTTGGGTTGGATTTGGAGGCAACTTATTTGCTTTTAAAACAAACGAAACATTTCACCAAGGTGGTGAGGATGTCTATTCATTGTTGAGATTATTGACCCTGGAGATGCATGATCAAGTTTACCTATGACAGCACTTTTTTGGGTGTAAATTGGAAGAGCAGGTTGTAAGTAGAACAGAAGCATGGAGCAACGTGCATTTTTGCACCAGAGTTATCCTTTTACCGAGAATCTATTAAGCATACACATATTTTGAAGTGGAGGAGTTGCTATTGCGTTTGCTTATACTTTCAACGAACCTGGATACATCAGCGTTTTAACTTGTGCTTTGAATGAGAACAGCCTCAATATCTTAGATATGGAACAAGACCAAAGAATGGTCAAAACAAGCAACTGAATTTTTCCCTATTAGCATGAAGACTGTCTCATATTCCTTAATTGTTCTTGAGTTGAAGAGACACCTCAACATATATTCATTTTGGGACATTTCTGCTGCTATTTCTTGGATGACAGTAAGTTCAATTGTTCTGATATTCTCAACAAGGAATCCTGTTTTGATGACTCAGAGGATCTAAGCCAGGAAACTTTCCTACTCATGTTCATCCTGCAAGGTCAGTGTTTCCACTGGCGATATGGAAGCTCCTTGGTAAGCCCTATGATATCAGCAAAGCTACTCAACTACTTGTTAGATAATGGTTACTCGGTAGTAACAGTCTTGACCGAATTAATGGTTTATACTTGTATTAAACATGCCAGTGTAGATAATGTCAATCCTTTATGTTAAAAAAGATCTATGGTCATTGCTTATGCTATTCTTTTTTGTGTGCTAGGAACAGATATTTAAAATGTAATCAAAATTTTGCTCTATAATTATCAGAAATACTGATAGTTCTCCTCCAACTTCCATGGAGATCAGTGTTTTTGTTCTAACAAATAATAAGTTGAAAGTTGGAATCAGAAGAAAAGGTATGTTTCAACCAGCCTTATAATTCAGAAAGGAAAAACTGAATAGCCAGTTACAAGTAACCGAGAAGATAATGGCCACAATCATTAAATTAACTGAACTAAATATTTATTGATAAACAGAAATTAGCTGTTAAATCGGACTGAGTCAAGAAGTTGAAACTTGAAAGACTAGATTTGCTATTTGGCTTTTGGCTGAAAGGAATTTGATCCTTGTCTGTGAGAATGCATGAAGCATATGTAGGACAATAATTTCACCGCTGGGCAGATAAGTTCAATGATCCTATGAGGCCAAACGATGATAGTGACACGTAATATTTGACCCCCCAGAAAATGAAGATGGATAAACTCTTCATCCCTATCTTCACGAGTGTCGGTAGAGAAAATGGACTTGTAAAGCCCCTGTTCCTGAGGGATCGTTTCACTCATGAAATGACACGGGATTGGATTATTAATCCTATGTCATTCCATGTTTGATATTTTATAGAAGGGATGATACGTTTCACGAGTTAATCCCCTGTACCGGGGATAAATTAATTTATCGGGAAAGGTGGTATGAATTATTTCGGGATGAGGAAGTAGGTAGGATGATGACAATTTAGACTAGAGGTGTCAAAATGGGTGATTTGGGCGGGTTTGGGTTGGGTAAAATGGGTAATGGGTATAAGTGAGTCAACTCATTTATACCCATTTAATTAGATGGGTATAAATGGGTAAGTCAAAAAATGAATTGGGTAACCTAATTACCCATTTATAACTCATTTATTTTAACTTTTTGCAAACTCATTTAAATTCATTTTTGCAAACTAAGTTATCAATTTATACCACTCTTTGTACCCATCATTAGTTTTAAATATTTACTTATAATGTTCAATAAACTTAATTACCAATTTTTCGGGATGAGGAAGTAGGTAGGATGATGACAATTTAGACTTATTTGTTCCTGCTAATAAAATAATGCTTTATTCTAATAATTGGATAAACTTACCCTCTAGCTATAATAATATTTAAATTTTGGGGTAATTAATAGCATAATAAAGTTTTGGACAAATCTGCCCATACTAGTAAAAATTGAGTTTTGGACTAATTTGTCCATATCAATGATATACAATAACTTTGGACTAATTTGCCCATGCAATTAACAAAACTAATTTTTGTACTCTTTTGCCCATATTAATGACATAACTAAAATTTTGGACAAATTTGCCCCTTCTAATTAAAATTTTATGTTTTGAATTAATTTGCCCATTTTAATGAAATAACTAAAATTTTGACTAATTTACCCCCATTATTGATAAAATTAATATTTTGATTAATTTGCCCCTACTAAATGCTTTGATGGATTTACCCCTACTAAAAACTGAGTTTGGGCTTACTAAAAGTCAATTTATATCCCTAATTGTAGGTCTATCAAAGAGGGGTAATTTTAGTTTATAAATAAATAAAATACCACCTCATCCTATCTCCAACTAAATGCAAGTTGACATTATTTTGTAAAACATCCAATCTGACATAAAACTAACCAAACACAAGAGTACTTATCCAGAGATGACTCGATTCAGGATGAATATTCAAGAATAAATAAGTCCTTCTCGTCCAATTCGTGAACCGAACGCACACTAAGGTGTTTAGGTTACCTTATGAATTTGTTGTCTGTGAATTGAATCTAAAATTCAGCAGTTAAGATCATCAACCCCCTTGTCTATGTGACATTGACCACCGTTCAGATCTATTGTATCTATTAAATTGTAAATTTGTAATTTTTAGAGCATGTTTAACTTGCCATTAGGGCAGTGATGTAATCAATCTGTTAATGAAATTTTCTTTTATAAAAAAATAAACAAATAAATATCTCTCACGCTTTTATCCAAAAAAAAGATTGAAACGAATGACAAATTTAAATTTTTTTTTAAAACCAAAAGACAAGAAAAATTAGCACATATGCTAATCCAGCCTGGCCCCATTCTCTTTTTTTGGGCCTAAGAGGACAAGAGAATCATCAAGTCAAGTCGAAATCATAATGTGGCATAATATTAACCTTTCAATTGAAACTTGCGCACAGGAAAAATTGGGGACCTAAAGTAAAAATCTTCTTTCCCTATAACACAATTCTGGCCTGATTTCATTTGTATTTGCGGTTAAGGAGTCCTTTGCTCAAATATAGTCAGGAATTGAAGATTTACCTTAATTTTTTTTTTGATAATAAAAATAAAATAATTTCATTAATCAGGAGATCGAATCTGCAACAAGTGCAGGACAAATAAAAGATGGAGGAGAGTCTCTCCATATACAAGAGTCTGCAAGATTAATAGCATACTTGGCATAGTTATGAGCTGGAACATTAAACGACCTAGGAATCCATGAAACTTCCCAACACATGAAATCTTGACATAAGACAATGGTATCATCAATCAACAAGCCACATGATGAATCGTCAGATTCCAAACACTCTAGCATTTTGATGACTTTTTGTGAATCTCCTTCCAAAACGATCTTATTGAAACCCAAAGATTGCAGTAGCTGAGTAGCATGTTTGGCCGCATATGATTCAACCACATTTGGTTCCAATATCCCAAGAATTTTCTTGGAGAGGCCAGCAATGAAACTTCTTTTATCATCCCGGATAATGACACCAACCCCTGATGATTTATCCTCCAGAAACACAGCTCTATCAAAGTTCGCCTTAACAAAAGCTGCTTTGGGTCGTGTCCAATGACCTATCGATAACCTTGATTGGGGAGAGGCAAGTGTATGGCACTTATCTTTGGAGTTTGCTTCATGGAATTGATTTAGGAATGCTATGGATAGGGAGACCAAGCTCAGAGGATCTCTGTAGGGCCCATCAAAGGTTGCTCCATTCCGATTATTCCATAAATTCCAAAGAATAACCCCCGCCAATTCCATCTCTTTGCTTGATAGTCGCAAAAGTTGGTTGGGAAGCCAAGACGTAATCTGATCAGCCGATTGCAGTTGAATTTTCTGGCTTAAGAAACTAAGCGCCCACGTTTGCACCGCTACAGGACAAGTTAAGAAGGTATGATCCACATCATCAATTGGAGCGAGACATAACGGGCAAGAGGTATCTAAATGGAGCCCTTTAGTATTGAGTTTTGTGCTGGTTGGCAGTATATCCTTACATGCCCTCCATAAGAAAATTTTAATTTTCTCAGGAAGCTTCACCCAAACACTTTGCTTTAAAGCACTACTACTTGATGGCAAATTCTCCCAATTAGAAAATCGCTGCTTGATCAAGTGATATGCACTCTTCACAGTAAAAGATCTATTCTTTGAAAAGTGCCAGATGAGCTTATCCCTATTGTGAGAGTCTCCAATTGGGATGCTTTGAATTAATTCAGTCTCCTCAGGCCAAAAAATTTCCTGCAATAAGTCAACTCGCCAAGTCTTTCACTCCCAGTCTATTAGGGAATCAACTGTGGAATTCTCGGGCAATGCAGTAGACCGCGACACGATCTTAAAAGTAAATGGCCGTGGAAGCCACCTATCTGACCAGATTTTGATAGACTGGCCAGAACCAACTCGCCATCTGCTTCCTGCCTCAATATACTTCCTGACCTCACATAGTCCGCGCCAAGACCAGGAAGGCCGCGATCCTTCCTGAGCTTGGAAGAAATCAGTATTGGAAAAGTATTTAGCTTTATATACCCGATGAAGAAGGCTAGATGGTTGTGTAGCAATGCGCCACGCTTGCTTAGATAACAATGCGAGATTAAAAGTTTTAAGCTGCCTAAAGCCCATTCCTCCATCTTCCTTTCGGTTGTAAAGTTTATCCCAACTAACCCAGTGAATCGGCCTAGCCTTATTTCCATCACCCCACCAAAAATTGCTCATCATTGATTGGATATCCATTAGCAAAGAATCTGGAAATTTGAAACAAGACATCGAATATGTGGGAATTGCCTGAACAACTGCTTTCAGCAACACTTCCTTTCCCCCTTTTGATAACCGTTGTTCATTCCATCCTTGAATTCGTTGCCAAATTCTATCCTTGATAGAAGAGAATACCTCACGCTTGGAGCATCCAATAATGGTGGGAAGACCAAGATATTTCTCATGTGCAACCACTTCTTTAATATTTAGAAATTGAGTGATATCTTGTCGGGTTGAGAAATCTGTGTTACTACTGAAAACCACAGCTGATTTCTGAAGATTTATCACTTGCCCAGAAGCTTCCTTATATAGTTGCAAGATATCCTGAATATGTCGAGCTTCCTGTAGGGTCGCTTTGCCAAATAACAAAGTATCGTCTGCAAATAATAAATGAGAAAGCTTAGGGCCACTCTGACTTATTCGTACTCCTGACAATTTACCACACGCCTCTGCTTCTTGCAATAGACAGGAAAAAGCCTCTGCACATATAAGAAATAAATACGGAGAAATTGGATCGCCTTGTCTAATGCTCCGCTGTAGTCGTAGATAACCAAATTGAACACCATTCAGCTGAAAAGAATAAGAAACAGTAGAGAAACAACTGGAAATAAGATCAACAAACTGTTAGGAGAATATTAGTATTCTTATAGATAATAAATTAGTAAGGGTATTCTTGTAAATAGTCTGTTAGGTTTGTATTCCTATAAATACTAGTTGGTCACTCATAATACGGTGACTAGATGTTTTCCTCCCAAGATACCTGTTGACATGGTATCAGAGCAAAAGTCCTAGGGTTAGGGTTAAATATCTAGCAAAAGTTTTAGCCATCGAGACTGTTCACGCGATACTGTTCATCGCGACTGTTCACGCGGGGGGGCACTGTTCATCGGGGGTACTGTTCACGCGACGTTGTTCACTGTTCACGGCACTGTTCACGAGGCGCTGTTCACTGTTCACGGCA